GGCTCAGCTGTGACCAAGAGGATGGTGTCCCCCATTAGCAGGCTATGCCCCTGCCTGGGTCTTCTCTGTGTCTCTCCCCTCAGCTGCTCTCCACTCCTACCCAGGGCTGCTCTCCCCTTGCCCTGCAGGGCCAGGGCTCTCTCGGGGATGGGCCTTCTTGCAGCTGCCAGGTCCCAGCAGGGGTTCCCTGCCTGGGAAGGGCCATTCCACGGGAGGGGTCAGTGGTGGAAAGACCATTTCTTGGACTCTGGGCTCCAAGGAGCTGGGGCTCATGCTGCGTGTGTGGGTGGGAAGGCTGCCCCCAAAGGCCGTGTCAACCGAGAGAGACGCTGTGGGTCCTGCCTTCTCCAGGGAGCCTCTTGAGGACGCAGGCCGAGTCTGCCTCACCCTGGGGCCTGGCTGGGACTGCCGTGTGCAGCAGTGTGACGGGCTGATGGGTCCCTTTGGGGAGATGGACCTGGGCTCCTCCCCTCTGTCTGATGAGGGAGCTCCACACCTGAGGTCTGTCCTTTAGGCTCTGGGGCGGTTCCGTCAGGAGGCTGTGGGCTGTGTGGGAGGAAGGGTCCAGAAATACAATCCCATCACTGCTAAGTCCTGTTGCTATCCTGCTGGGCCTGCCGCTGACGGGGCCACCCTGCCACCCGCGGATCTCCCTGGCACAGCCCTGCTAGGATTCTTTCTAAGAGGATGAAAGGGAGTCTCAGAGGGTGTGGCCACTGGCCAAGGCCCACGCGAGAGGATGCTGGACCATCCCAGCTCCTTTGAACTGGACGCTCTGGGGCCACCTCCCTGTTAGGAATGAAAATGCTGCCCTTCGCGGTGGCTCAAGCCTGTACTCCCAGCACTTTGAGAGGCCAAGACGGGCGGATCACAAGGTCAGGAGATCGAGACCATACTGGCTAACACGGTGAAACCTCGTCTCTACTAAAAAAATATGAAAAAACTAGCCAGGCAAGGTGGCGGGAGCCTGTAGTCCCAGCTACTCGGGAGGCTGAGGCAGGAGAATGGCGTGAACCCAGGAGGCGGAGCTTGCAGTGAGCTGAGATCCGGCCACTGCACTCCAGCCTGGGCGACAGAGTGAGATTCCGTCCTGGACGCTCTGGGGCAAAATAAATAAGAAAAAAGAAAATGCCCCCCTTTGTGTGACAGGATGAGCCAACTGCTTCCGTCAAGGGCTCAGGCACGGCGTTTAGGGGATTCACATGCATCTGCGTGGGGCTCGGTTTCTCACAGTGGACTCCCAATTGCTGGGTTAGGAAACTGAGTCTGTGCAGGACAAGCTCTGCGGGACGGTGCCCTGGCCGGGATCCAGGTGGCTGGCTGTCCACCACCTTCCCCAACGCTCTGTCTGCTTGCCAGAATGTGGCCCTTCCTGGGGGAGCCAGTGACTGCCCAGCCCAAGAGCCTGGAGCTCCAGCCCTCACAGGGCAGCTCACACTCTGGCAGGCTCTGAGGAGCTTTTTGGCGACCTGGTCACTCATCCATCCAGGTTCAAGTTAACATTGGTGACAATTCACCATCATTCTGTGTCTCATTTGCAAGCTGAAGATCATGCTACTGTCTTTGCCTCCAGTCATAATGTACTCCAAGCTGGGTGCGGTGGCTCACGCCTGAAATCCCAGCACTTTGGGAGGCAGAGGCAGGCAGATCACTTGAGGTCAGGAGTTTGAGACCAGTTTGGCCAACATGGTGAAACTCCATCTCTACTAAAAATACAAAAACCAGCCAGGCTTGGTGGTGTGCGCCTGTAATCCCAGCTACTTGGGAGGCTGAGCCGGGAGAATCACTTGAGCCCAGGAGGGGGAGGCTGCAGTGAACCAGGATCATGCCACTGTACTCCAGCCTGGGCAACAAGAGTGAAACTCTGTCTCAAAAAAAAAAAAAAAAAAAAGAAAAAGAAAAAGAAAAGAAAAAGCACTCCCGTAGACAGAATCCGGCGAGTTCTGCTGCTGTCCTGAGTCACGCTGAGAATGCAAGGGTGTAGGTGTCAATCCCAGGGGATGCTGGGCCTGACGCAGGCTGGCTTCCAAGGAGCCTCGTCCATGAGGATTCAAGACAGCAAACATTGATTTCATACTCTTTTTTTTTTTTTTTCTGAGACGGAGTCTCGCTCTGTTGCCCAGGCTGGAGTGCAGTGGCGTGATCTCGGCTCACTGCAAGCTCCGCCTCCGGGGTTCACGCCATTCTCCTGCCTCAGCCTCCCGAGTAGCTGGGACTACAGGCGCCCACCACCTCGCCCGGCTAGTTTTTTGTATTTTTAGCAGAGACGGGGTTTCACCGTGTTAGCCAGGATGGTCTCAGTCTCCTGACCTCATGATCTGTCTGCCTCAGCCTCCCAAAGTGCTGGGATTACAGGCGTCAGCCACCGCGCCCGGCCTGATTTCATATTCTAAGGAAAAGGCAGTGCAGCTCCTTTGGGAAGCTCGGCCTCCCGGCCTGCTACGCCTCAGCCTGACCCCAGACACAGCCAACAGGGCTGACGACCTCGGGAAGACGCTATGACCTCAGACAGGTCTCGGGTTTCACCTGAATCCCAGGGGCTGGGACCTGCCCTTGTTTAGTTTCCACGTGGAAACCAATTTGGGACGTTTGTGACCCAGAGCAACCCTTTCAGTGGTCTTGTCCTTTCCTTGGAGAAGGGGCTGGGACCAAGAAGGCTGGACTCGCGAGGCGTCCCAGGGTGCAGCTGGGCCCTCGTGTTTCTCCGTGCGTTTTCCAGAAAGCCTCCATCCCTGCCTCAATCATGGTTTGGCTCTGTCGCTATTCCGGGTTTCACCGCTGTCATATTTGAGCAGAGCTTTTGCCCCGACCAGGGATGAGAACGTCGTCTGCCAGCCGCCTCTGTAGCCTGAGTGGCCACGGGCAGGCAGAGGGGGAAGGTGGAGTCTTCCACCCAGGGGAAGTGCCAGGCCAGGCAGCCTCTGCTGTGTAATCTGACAGGCGTAAGGCCGCTCATTATGTGGTTTCACCTGCCGTGGCCACCGCCAGCAAGTGTGTGCGGAGGCCGGTGCCTGGCGAGCCTCAGGGAAGCTGCCGAGTCCCTCACTTCCCCCAGTCAATCCCCGCAGCCTTGTGCAAAGCTTGCTTAGTTCAAAAACTGTCTTTGTCTGCATTAAAACACCTTTATCCCTGGTATTAATGTCCTGGCCAGAACAAATTACCATAAATTTGGTGGCTTCAAACCGCAGAAATGTGTGCTGTCTCAGTTCTGAAGGCCAGAAATCCAAAATCTGGGTGTCACAGGACCAGCTCCCCTCCCAAGGCTCTAGGGAGGATCCCTTCCTCCTCCTCCAGCTTCTGCTGGGCGTGGGCAACCCCTGTGCTTCCTGGCTTGGGACTGCACGTCTCCAGCCTCTGCCTGTCTCCGCAGCGCCTTCTTCCCAAACCTTCCTCTCCTGCTAAGGGTCCCAGTCACTGGATTAGGGCAGGCCCCATTCCAGCGTGGCCCTGTCTTAAGTCAACGACATCTGACATCTGCAAAGACCCACCTCTCCAAAACAAGTCCCGCTCACAGGTTCTGGGGGAATTCAGCATGTCTTTTGGGGGAACGTGAGTCAACCCACAGCCCCCCGAGTGACGAGTGACAGACCTGGAGCCCACTCCTGGGGGTGGAGGGAAGCACGGGGGAGGAGGAGAAGGGCGTGGATGGGGCTGGGCTTGCCTCATCGTTGGAGGGACTGTCACACAAGCCTGGTCCAGGCTGGAGGCACCAGCGAGTACTGGCTGTCGTCAATCCTGGGCCCCAGGGTTGGTCCACAGGGCCAGAACGGCCGGGGTCAGGGTGTGATCAGAGTCACTTGGCTGAAATGTTCTTCTCCAGATGCCTGCATGCAGCGGGCTCACTGTTCACATCTCCCTCCTTCCACAAGGGCCTCCGTCCTGGCCACTGTGCCCCAGAGCCTGCACTGCAGGGAAGGGGCTCCGTGAATACATTCTCAGTCCAGGGGAGGCCCTCCTACTCCTGCCAGGCGCACATCCTGCTGCCGTTTGGATCTTCTCAAAACCTAAGGCAGTCATCTGTGCCCAGCGTGAGGGCGGCTGGGTCTTCAGTCCATGCTCAGTCAACGGGAGAGACAGGGCCCGGGGGCCTCTTCTCACAGCACCAGGTCTGTCCCTGCCGACCAACAGGCAGACAGATGACAGACAGACGACAGAGAGGCCGGTGCGGCCTGTCCAGAGCTGCTGCGCTCAGCACACCTCAGTCAGGGTCCCTGGGCCCCGTCGGTCCTCCGCAGCAGCCTTGGAAGAACGGGGCCCCACACAGCCCTCTCCCCAGCCGTTCTCTTTCTGGCTCACAGAGCTCCCAGGCTCTAGGGGCCGCAGCTGGGGGGTGCTCCATGCAATCGGCATCTGCGTTCCTTCACTCTTCTTCCCTTGAATGAATTCCAAGCCCCACTGTTCTAAGGAGGACCAGACGTTACTTCAACCGCACTCAGGACCCCCAGCTTTGGGGAAAGGAGGATAGACCCCCCCATGAGTGAGGGCTGCCGGCAGGGCGGGGAGAGGGGTGGCTGGTGTCAGATTCATTGCAGTGGCCCACCTCCCCCCAGCACCCCCCACTGAGGGGCTCCCAGGAACGGAGGGACTCTCCAGCCAGCCCCATGTCACCAAGGAGCAGTGGCAGAAGTGAGCCTCCCAACACGGACACTCACCCTCGCCAGAAGAGTCCTGGGCTCATCACCCCTTCCCAGCCTGGACCTCAGTCGATGGGAACCCAAGAGTGAAGAAACCAAGACATTCTCTGAGGCCCTCCCAAAGACCCTTCAAGACCGAAAGGCTGGCCGGGCACGGTGGCTCACGCCTGTAATCCCAACACTTCGGGAGGCCGAGGCGGGCAGATCACCCGAGGTCAGGAGTTCGAGACCAGCCTGACCAATATGGTGAAACCCTATCTCTACTAAAAATACAAAAATTAGCTGGCGTGGTGGCGCACACCTGTAATCCCAGCTATTTGGAGGCTGAGACAGGAGAATCGCTTGAACCTGGGAGGTGGAGGTTGCAGTGAGCCGAGATCACGCCATTGCACTCTAACCTGGGCTACAGAGTGAGACTCCATCTGAAAAAAAAAAAAAAAGACCGAAAGGCCACAAGACGCACCCAGTAGGTGGGTGATCAGTGTCCCAGATACGTTCGCCACCCCTGGGGCAGGCTCTGAATTTGGGTCCCTGAAGGTGGGTCTGTGCAGCATCCCCAGCAAGGAGGGGAGGGGGCCCCAGGGTTCCCCTGTCTGCTCCACCACCGCACGCCCCTGGGAACAGGCAATGCCATCCCAGGGCAGCCTCTGGCCTTCACTTGCTACAAGTGAGTTTATCCCCCTCTCCATCCTAGAGATAGTCGGTCTGATTTATGTCGTGCAAAGGCCCTCAAGTGACTGGAGATCCCTCGGAGACGGGCTCCGGGAGGCGCTGGGAATCCACACTTCCAGCTGGGGCCGCGCAGTCCCAGCCACATTAAACGCTCAGACTTTTCTTGCTGATTTTTGAAAATTATTGCACCAAATGTTTACCAGTGAAATGCTGATCGTGATGATAAGAAGGCTGGGGAGGCCAAGAAAAAAGGGAAGAGAGAGTGCAGCTGCACACCCTTCTCCGGGTCCCAGAAGCACCGCTCTCCTGCGTGTTCAACTGGCATTTGCCACCAACATGCCTGTTTTTCTTTAAATGGCCCAGAGCAAGGCTCTGACTAAACTAACATTCCCACGCCAACACTCAGCAGCGCCTCTGGTTTTTGGCAATTTTTTTCCTTAGCTGTCAAAGTAAAAATATAGAAGAGTCCTGGTCTTACTTAAGGCTTAGGGCTTTTTCCCTTCCCCCTAGAGACCCGAAAATAGCTCACAGATGTGCGGTACCTGCTAACGTTCGTGCTCCGTGTTACTTCACGAACAGAACTCCCCGTGCTCTCTGTAACCCAAACCCCGATTTCCAGGCCCATGTTCATTTGCAGAGGGGTCCGTGGGGGTCTGTGGGGGGAGTGTGGGGGGACGGAAGTTCTCAGCTTGTTTAAATGTGTCTGGAGCAGATGGGAGGAAACTCCGGCTGCCTGAGAAACTCTCGCCTCAGGCAGGAGCTTCTCCATCACCCCAGCAGTGAGGTCAAGGATGGCCCAGGCTCCACTCAGGGGACCAGGAACAGGCTGGGTGGGGTGGGGGGTGTGGTCAAAGTCCTTTGGGGGCTCCTGGCTCTGCTGGTGGCTCCGCCGGGACAAAGGATTCTGTTTTGGGACACCAACATCGTCCTTCTAAGATTAAAATAAAGTTTTTTTTAAAGGGGGGTTTCCAGCTATTTTTACCCCTGGAAAGGAAGAAAGGCAAAGACGGAGGAAGGGAGGAAGATAAAAGGAAGGAAAGAAGAGAGGGAGAGAGGGAGGGAAGAAAGAGAAATAAAGCAAAGAGTAAAAGAGGGGGACCGAGAAAGGGGGAAGGAGGAAGGAAGGAAAGGGAGGGGGAGGGGCCACCCGGTCCGGCTTTCCCAGTGACTCAGCCCTCGGAGGCTCGGGGTTTGTACCAGAGCCCAAGGGGTGGAGCCTCGAAGTTTCGTCCCCCGGGGCTCTTACTTTTTGGAGAAAGTTCTGAGGTGAGGGGGGCATGGGCCAGGCAGCATGGAAGTCTCCCCCACAGGCTCTGCAGGGGTCCCTGGGACTGAGTAATTTGGGATCATGGGGGTCTGGAGGTAGTGAGGGGATATGGGGGTGCAGATGGACCTGGTGGCCAAGCTCTGCCACCCCACTCCGAGCCTCAGTGCCCCCATCCAAGAACCAAGCATCGTGACAGCCTCCCTGTCTGGTCCAGCCCCCCACGGGCCCTGCCTGGAGGTGCCAGCCCCGGTGCTAAGCCTCCTCGGTGCCCACCTTCCTGATGTCTCTCCTCCCGGAAGCCCCCTGATTTGGGCAGGCCTGGCCAACTTCCCAGTGCATGCACCCCCCAAACGGCGTGCCAACCAGGGTCCCCAGCCAGGCACTGCCTCTGCCGTCTCCCTGGGACTCCCTGGAAGCCGCAGAAATAGGCCATTGGCCCCCGAGTGACCCAAACCCAGCCCAGGCTCCACCCAGGCTCTGTGGGCTGCTGAGGGGACCTGGGGTCCTGGAAAGGTCTGAGTGGGCTCTCCACTTCTCAGGGCTGGGAGACCATACCCAGACCCATCTACTGTCTTTCCCGTTGAGGTCTGTGCTCTGAGCAGTCTAGGAGCTTCCAGGGACAGGCAGGTGGGTCTGAGCCCTGAGTCACATGCAAAGGACGGGCAGGTGGCCTCCGCCTGAGATCTGTGCTGCACCAGCCACCCCCTGGCCCAGCTCTAGAACGACAACGCCAGGTCTGCTCCATGGTCAGTCCTACAGCCCTCGAGGCCCACACCAGCTGGGGCCTTCTCCGCTCACCTGCTCAGGAGGTTCAGTGCCTGCCTGGGGACTTGCCCGGGCAACTCACTCCCTCAGCCTCTGTGCAGAGGGGAACAGTAGGGCCTGCCTCTCGGACGCTGACCCTATCCCAGGCCTCAGAGGTAGCAAAGGGGGCATTTTCTGCGTGGGGACCGCTGGAGACACCGAGCAGACAGGGCCCCGGGCACAGTCCTGGCCACAGCTGGGGGCCACTGTTCTGGCAACTGGGTCCAGGGAGGGCTCCAGGCGCCAACAGGAGGGCCGGTCACAGTGGCTTGCATGGACAGCCAGTTGACTTGGTACCACGCAAGCCACTGCTGGGCCTGCGCCCACATTCCTTCAGCTTCTTGCAGTCAGGTCCATCAGCAAATCTTCCGGATCCTCTGGTGTGGGTGCTGGGTCCTGGCAGGGACAGGTTCTGCCTCATACACAGGTCAGGAAAGCTTCGTGTTCGAGACGCTCAGACGGCCGAGAGCCTCTGGGATGGCTGAGGAGTCTCAGGGACACGTGGGGAAGAGACTGCTTCGGCAGAGGACAAGGCCTGTGACAGCAGAGCAGGGAAGTCCACGGCACAGACCGAGAGGTGCAGGGTGGGAGCGACCCCTGTGAGGGCCAGGGTGAGATGCCCAGTACCTGTGGGCACCCCGGGCCTGGGTGACGGTGGCTGTCTGCATGCAGCAGGGGCAGCAGATTCCAGACCCCAGCCTCCTCGAACAAGGGCCGGCCCAAATCCATCCTAGAGGAAGGATAGCCAGGTGCGTCACAGTGGACTGCCCAGCACAGCTGACCAGGTTGCAAGCCAGACATGAAACCAAATCTGAAAAAATGCCCAACCTTGAGGAAGTGTCCCAAGTTCTTTTTAAGTGGATAAAGGCAGATGGCACTTTCAAAATCACTTGGTGCAGCAGAGCCTGAGGCCTGGCAGCCCTCGAAGGCCCCACGGTGCGCCTGATGGTCAGGGGCTGCAGTGGATGGGGACATGGAGGCTGCATAGGAGGGACCCTGGAGGCCAGACACCCTGGAGGCCTCTGGGCTTGAGCTTTGCACGCAGGTCAGATGTCTTTTACAGTCAGCTTCAAGAGGTGAAGGAGCCCTACCCCTAGGTGGTCTGGAATGTTCCCATAGCTGCCTGGTGGTGGCCCCCACCCAGGACCCGGCAGAGTACCTGCCACGGGAAGTCCCCACACTTAGCCCCGCTTCTGAGCCCCCAAACTCCCTGCTTTCAGTCCCAGGGGCCACTCCAACGTGGCCATGCCAAGCGATGGTCCCTGTTCCAAGTCCAGCCTGCTGCCTTGCACAGTGAACAGACCGTGAGTGTGGGGGAGGGGAGGAGTGTCCCCCAACACCTCCTGGGGGTCTGACTTACCCTACTGGATGACAGCAGCTGAGGACCAAGGCCTGGCTGGGCCTTGAGCTGGCATCCTCATGATGTCTCTGAGCCTCAGCTTCCCTCCTGAAAAATGGGGAGCATCGCGCTCCCTGCTCCCCAGCGCCACAGGGTCATGGGGGCAGCAAGAGCCAAGACGGATTCCTGCAGAAAGGAAAGGGGCCTTGGGCTCAGAACTGGGAGTCTCAGCTCTGGCCGCTCCTTAGAATCGACCGCAGAGCTGTCAACACAGGCAGCCCTCAAATACACCCACCCACCGGGTCACTGCTGATCCCCCCACTCAGACCACATCTCTCTGGGGCCGGAGCCAGCCCTGGGGTGTTTTAAGGTCACCTGGGTCTCCGTGCTGCACAGCACCTGGGGCCAAGCAGGCGGCAGGAGCTCCGTCGCTGTCCCCGTGTGCTGACCAGCTGTGCTTTCGCCTCTTCACACACTTAGGGTCTGCTCTGCTCTTGAAAGCCCTCACAGCAGCCGCAAAGGAGGGGCCTGGTTGGGCCAATGTCAGCAGGGCCTCCTTAGCCTACCCTGACAATGGTACCCCCATTTCTCTGGCAGCAAACGAGGGGGAACTGACCCAGTTCAGTCTCCTGGGGTGCAGTGCCTAGGCTGCTGTCCCCTCCGCACCTGCACGTGGCCTCTGAAGAAGCGGGGGCTGCGGGACACGTCTGCCTCTCCCCTCCGCAAACCCGGCTCTGCAGCCCCATCTCCTCTGCTTCCAGGCTCCTTGGCCAGCTTGGGAACAGCCCCTTCATTCAGGGTACTCCTGCCCCCAGGGGTATCCCGGGAACCTTGTCCCAGCTCCCACCACAAGCTGGGACAGGAAGCCCAAAGTGACTCCCACGCAGGAGGCCTGGCAGCACTGCACCCCAATTCGGCTTCTTGGGGTCCTAGCCCCCACCTTCTGATTGGGTTTCTGGAGTGGCTGGGGTGCCCTGCACACAACCTGCCTTCTTTTGTTTCTCTTTAGCCCCTGCAATGCCTGCTGCCCAGGGCTGCCCCCCTGACCTGCAGGAGAAGGTCTCCAGGCCCCAGGGCAGCAGATGCACTCCTGCTGGGTAGGACCCCTGCCTTTCCCCACTGCCCACACCCACTGGCCTGAAAAAGAGGAATGGGGAGCCCAGACAACTTGTGAATGAAGCTTCTCACCTACTTGCCAGGGGCCCACCCCCTTCCCAGGCTGGCCCATCCCCCTCATCCCTTGCTTCTTCTCAGCCCCAGCTGTCCATGGGGTACTCCCGGCTGTGGGTGGTGCAGGCGTTGGGAGCTGGGAGGCTGAGGCCTGTGCTTCCCTCAGGTCTGTGAACCCGGCTGCACCACCTGTAACATGGGCTTATGAACGTGCCTGGCTGCTGGGTGGCCACTCTCTTCTCTGCTGGTAGAGGATAGAGGCCCCAGGTGGAGATGCTGTCAGCACAGCTGGGGCAGACCAGGGGAGAACCCCCATCCAGGGATCCCCTCCCCTCCCAGGCCACCCCTTCGAAAAATGCTGAGGACTGGCCCCCCAGCTAGGGCTACATGGGCCATTACTTCTGGCCTGGGGCTCACAGGCAGAGATGCCAACGGAGGCACACAGGCAGTTGCACCTGATCAGCACTAGGCCTGAGGCCTTCAGGCCTCCCTGTGCCCCACCTCACCCCCACCCACCCGGAGCAGAGGACGTCGAGGTGGGCAGTGTCCTCAGCCTGGGAGCTGCACAGCCCCGGCGCTTCCTTCTATGGAAAATCTGCTCCTCCAGGCTGCCGGGCTGCTGTTACATAAACATCTCTGCTGCCTCCAGGCGCCTCCTCTCCTGGGGCGCTGACCCCGAGATGTTACCCCAGGCCTGGAGAAGTGAGGCCAGCTTCTGGGAGGACCCAGGCGAGGCAGGCTCCCAGCAGCAGCTACAGGGGGGGATAGGCCGTCTGCACTGGCTGTTTCCAGAGTGCTCAGCACTTGGCAAGAGGTGTGCCAAGAAAGGCTCGCTGGAGTCAGGTGTGAGATTTGTCCTGCTTTCTGTGCCTCCCTCTGCCACCATGCTCTGGGGTTTCTGCAGCCACTCCCCCAGGCTCCCAGAGTCCTAGGTCCCTCTCAGCCTTTCAGTCTCCCTGCAGGGCAGGCATAGCTCTCCTACTCCAGGAGGGCCCCCAGCGCCTTCTGCCATCGCACTCACCACCCTGTGTTGGGGTGGGGAGGGGGCGCTGTCTCTCCCCGGCACGAGGCCGTGAACTTTGTGCAGGGACTATGGCAGGCATTTTGGACTCCTGGCGCTTAACCAGGCTTGGCACAGGGTGCCCGTGCCTGGCATCGTGGTGGAGAAATAAATCAGCCGGAAGGGGCACGTGGGAGGGGCTGCGCCGGCGCCAGCGGCAGATCCGCCCGACCCGTTTGTGCTTTCCCGGGCCACCTTAGGCAGGCGGCGCCCGGGCAGGAGGAGGACGGTGACCAAGGAGCATGTCGACGCGGGTCCCCCCTGGGGGAGCGGGGCGCAATACGTCCGCGAGGCACTGGTCCTGGCTGCTCCCTTGGGGCGCCCTAAACTCCTTGCCCTGAGGCCGCTGCGCCCCCATCCCTCGCGGTCAAGTGCTCAGGCAATCACGGCCAGGGGTGTCTGGCGGCGATCGATCCTCTGGACGCCTAAAGCCGCGGCCACGGGGCCCTGGGGAGGGAGAGAAGCCGCTGGGCTAGGGGCGCACCCACGGCTAGGCCACTTCTCCCAAAGCCCTACCCCGGGCCCGGGGTCCCCCAACGTGGCCTCAGCTGCTCCCCGCCTGGCCCAGAGCACGGTGGACACAGATGCCCGCGGCCTCGCCCTCCCCACTCCACCCTGGGCTCCTCCGCTTATTCACATGCAAATTTCCGTCGCCAATTGTCGCCGAGCGCGGCAACGGCCAGAGCCGGATCCTTCCGCAGCCCCGGCTCAAACTTTTGGCCTCTGAAAACTTTCAAACGAGAAGTAGTCCCAGGCGCCCGCTCCCGACCCACGCCGCGCCGCCGGGTCCCTCCTCCCCGGAGAGGCTGGGCTCGGGACGCGCGGCTCAGCTCGGGGAGGCGCAAAGGCGGACCCGGCGCGCGGGAGGAGGCGGCCGCGGAGGGGGCGGGGGGACCGGTGGGGGCGGGGCCGGTGGGGGCGGAGCGCACCTCGACTCGGAGCCTCACTAGTGCCTCGGCCGCGGGAGGGAGCGCAGGGGCGCGGGGCGCGGGTGAGAGCGCAGCGAAGGAACGAGCCGGGCGCGGAGACGGGCCCGGGAGCCCGCGAGAGCACAGCGCCGACTGCCAGCCGGGGAAGAGAGGGCGGGACCGTCCGCCGCCGCCCCGGGACCGTCCGCCGCGCGTGTGCGTCCCAGCCCCGCCGGCCAGCGCAGGAGGCCGCCGTCCGGGCGCAGAGGGCAGCCGGGGGGGAGGCATGCCGCCGCTCCTGGCGCCCCTGCTCTGCCTGGCGTTTTTCCCCGCGCTCGCCGCACGAGGTAGGCCCCCACCCACCCGCGAGCCCCCACTTTCCGCGCCCTTTGGAAACGGCGGCGCCCGGCGCGCGCGCCCGGTGGCTGGGAGCGGGCGGCGGGGAGGTCGGCGTGGAGAGGGAAGAGGGGGCGGCCCGGGGCGTGGGGTTCTTGGAGTCCCGGGCTGGGGGAGGACCGAGCCTCCCCCTCAATCCCCCCGTGGAGGCGGACTCGCGCCGCCCGTGCCTGGAGCCGAGTTTGGAGGCCGGCGTGAGGTGCTGGGGTCCCGGAGGCCCTACCCGGGCCCGCCCTTCACCCGCCGCGCGTGGGGCTTGCCGCCGGTCGGCCGGGCGGGCGGGCTGCCTACTACTTTTCGATTTGAATAGAGTCGGTTTTGGTTTCCTGTTGCTTCTCCGGGCCATTTATCTTTCTTCTTCGCCTCTGGCCCACGCCGGGGCGGATGTTGGGGCGCGGAGTGTGGGCTCCGCGGCGCCGCGTTCGCCTTCACTGACCCGCGCGGCCCGGCTGGGTCCCCGGGCTCCCGGTCGCCCCGCCCGCCGGTGCCCCCCAGCCCAGCTCTCAGTTTGGGGGAGGGGTTTGCGTAAGAAACCTTCGCGCTGGGGGGCACTGAACTTTTCCTTTTGCTTTGCAGAGTTGAAGTTTGGAAAACTTGGGGGTGGAGAGCGGGACGCGGGTGGGGGGCTCTTACATCTCTCCTCGCCGCACATCGAGGGGGGTCTCTGGGGAATCGAGTGATTAATCCACTCTTTCTCTGAGAGTTGCAGGCGAGAATTATCTGTCCTCTTCCAGAAAGTGCTGCTCTATGTCACACCACCCTCCCCCGTTTCTCAGCCCCCTAAGATGGGGAGGGAGGGGCTTGAGTAATTGATCCCTTCTCGAGATGGGGTCGAATTCCTTCCGAATGGGGGACCTTCATCCCCCTCCTGTGGGTGTTTGGGGCTGCCCTGGAGATGCGCGCCCGCGGGAGCAGGTATTGGGTGTCGGCAGAGGCGGGGCCGGGTCCCCGGGGTGCAGTCCTGGTGCCCCTGGAGGCGGCCCCGACTCCACAATGGGCCGCTCTGATTCCGAGGCGGAGGCCGGCGCTTTGTTGGCGGGCGGGGCAGCGGGCGAGCAGCTGTCGCATTTTCCCACGGGCGGGAGCTGAGTGTGGCCACCCCCCCCCTTCCCGCCGTCCAGCTCTGCCCCCTTGCAGAACGGGTTTGAACAGAGGCAATCTCGGCGGCTGGATGGGGGGCCCTGCCCTGCCAGCCTCCCCAGTGAGCCTCTGGGGTGGGGGGCAACGCTTGGGAGAGTAGCCCACTTTGTCTCTGCTTTTCCCCCACTGCATCCAGGCGTCACATCAGGCCGCCCCACCCTGCTTCAAGCAGGACGTGTTCCCTGCTGCTCCCCTTCCCCCCATTTCTGACTACAGAACTCTGGGCAGAATGTTGACGCCCTTTGGTTTCATGGTGGGGCTTCCTGTGGACCCCTGCCCTGGTAACCCATGTCACTGAGTAGAGGCGTCCAGGGTGGGGGGAGGACAGTGCCCCTTGGCTGGGTGCGGGTCCCACCCCCAGGGTAACAAGGGCTTTCGGTGGTGCGGGTGAGACTGACCTCTCTTCTCCTGCCCCTGCCTAGGCCCGCGATGCTCCCAGCCGGGTGAGACCTGCCTGAATGGCGGGAAGTGTGAAGCGGCCAATGGCACGGAGGCCTGCGTGTGAGTACCACCCCTGCGGGACCTGTTGCTTTGTTGAGGGCAGAGCCCCTGCCTTCTGCAGCCGCGCAGGGGACAGAACACTAGGGCATTGTCTTCTGGAGATGGCCCAGAGTCTGGGCACGGTCACGTGCTGACTTTTATTGGACAAAGTCTGGCAATTACTTAATCACCAGCAATTATGCTGCGTGTGGAGCTGGTCTGGCTGCTGGGGGCTTAGGCACTCCTCTGTGGGCCACCTCAGGCTCCTGGGTTACTAAGTGGGAGTCCCAGTACCCCAATTCTTCTTAAAGTCCCCAAGAAACAGTTGATCTGTCAGGGGAAGCTCTGGACCATTTACTGAGAAGCCCAGATCCCGCCACCCTGCCAACTTGGGGCACCTCCTCTGGGCGGGTGATGCCTCCTGGGCAGGTGATGATGCCTCCTGGGCACAGGTGATGCCTCCTCCCCAGGGGTGATGCCTCCTGGGTGGGTGGTGATGCCTCTTGGGCTGGTGGTGATGCCTCCTCTTGATGGGTGATGCCTCCTCTGGGCACAGGTGATGTCCCCTGGGTGGGTGATACCCTCTATGGGTGGGTGATGCCTTCTGGGCTGGTGGTGATGCCTCCTCTGGGTGGGTGATGCCTCTGGGCACAGGTGATGCCACCTCTGGGTGCATGGTGCCTCCTCTGGGTGGGTAATGCCTGCTGTAAGCACAAGTGATACCTCCTCTAGGCGGGTGATGCCTGCTCTGGGCAGTTGGTGATGCCTCCTGGGCGGGTGATGCCACTTCTGGGTGGGTGATGCCTTCTCTGGGCGGGTGATGCCTCCTCTAGGCACAGGTGATGCCTCCTCGGGGTGGGTGATGCCTCCTCTGGGTGGGTGATGCCCCCTCTGGGCAGGTGATGCCTCTTTGAAGGAAATTGACTCTTCAAAATTGGACCCGCCTTTGGGCTCTTGTTTGCCCCAGCTCCCTCCTCCCGGCCTCAGGCTGGGGCTGGAGAAGAGAAGGCGGAACTCATCTTTTGGTGCGGGGTGTGGGGTAATTATTGAGTCTGGTTTCTGTCCTGGCATCTGCAAACTCTGACCTCCAAATCCCGTGGCCCTTTTGGTCTGCCAGGCTCAGATGTAAAATAGGCATGGAGGGGGCTGGGAAGTCGCGTGGAACCGCTCCCTCCTGCCTGCCTGTGAGTGCCAGTCGGCGGTGGGGAACTGTTCTGCTGTGGCCGATGCCCTTCAACTTGAGTCCATCCCTGATGAGAATAATGAGGAGGTGTTTGGTGGCTGGAAAAAGAGTTCCCTCCGCCCCCCAGGAGCTACAGATGAAGAAATGGCTCCCCAGCCAGTCTGCGCGCCCTCATTCCAACTGTAGAAGGTCCCATTCCCTTGACAACCCCAGCCCGGCTCCTGCCTGCACCGACTGCCCAGCCTGTGGGCAGCAGCCCCCCTCCTTCCCTGGCCCCCACCCTCCCCAAACTGAAGCCAATTAAGCAGGTCCGTGAGCAGTTTAATGGACAAAGCCGGCTGTGTCTTTGTCAGATGCTAATGAATGCGCACACTACTTTTTTTTTTTTTTTTTTTTGCTTTTTGGGGCCCCCTTCTCCCCCTGCAGAAGCCGCACGGACGCTTGATGCCCTAAATCTTGTTTCCTTTCATTCAGAGACCGACAGCTGGGATCCAGGGGAAGTGCAGCAGCTATTGTTGGGGGAGGCGGATTAATGCCGTGTGATTAATTATGCGTGGCTTCCCAGAATGTATAACCCCGTTCCCCGCCACCGCGCTCCCGGCTCGGACTTTGCCTCCACCCATTCAGGTCTCTGGGAGAAGCTTCTTGCTCCTGCAAAGGACTTTGGGAGGGTAGGAAGAATGCTGTGCTGAGAAAATTGGGGGCCTGTTGCTTCTTCTCAGTGGCACTAGGGAGTAGGCACAGCCTGGCCCACAGGGGTCTGGGACTGAGGTCTCCACAGGCCAGAGGGCTGTGCTTTGGGGTACAGATTGCTGCAGCTCCCTGATGTCTGGGCTAAAACCCTGCCACAGGGCCGCAAAACACTGGTGTCATGGGCCCACTCTCCCATTCCCCAAACCTGGGATCCTGGTGAGCTGTTTCCTGCCCAAAGGGCTTTGGTGCCTGGCCTTGTCCCCTTCCCTGGGGCCTGGCGCCCCCTCCTTCTTGGCGGGAAGCCTGCTTCAGTTTGGCCTGACAGGCAGCCGAGCTCAGCTCACAGAGACCCCATTGTGCACATCCCACAAGTCCAACGAGAAGATGGGACGGAAGTGCGTCCTCAGGCTCCCGCCTCTGGGCTGCAGGGTTGGAGGCCAGGGCCACAGCCGGGCCCGGCTTATGGAGGCACAGGTCAGGGCTCACACAGCAGTTTGGGGAGCATTGCGGCTGCTTCAGGGAAGGCCTCAGGCTCCCTCCCTGGCCTTGAGCCCCACCCAACGTACACCTCTCAGGCGTCTCTGCCTTCCCATTCCTGCTCGTCCTTCTCAGAAGCCCTAGGAGGTCTGTCCAGGAGTTGGCCAGGGCACCTGCAGGAAGCCTGGCTCTCCCAGCAAGGGGAGAAACCCACACTGTTTCTCGAAAGCATTTGGGGTGCAGGCTCTTGGAGCCCTGCCAGCCTGCGTGTGAATCCTGGCCCCGCAGTATCCAGCTGTGAGCCCGGAAAGAGCTTTGACTTTTGGTGCCGGTTGCTGCTTCTGCTGTAGAAGGGGCATGGTCTTGCTGGGGGTTACAGTGCCTGGCACACTAGTACTGGGTGAATCATTTCTTTCCACCCCAAGCGAAGGAACCTTCACCGGAAGCTGCCAATCAGGTGGTTGCAGAGCTGGGGATTGGAAAAAGTGGTTTTGTTGGTGCAAAATGCTTTCCCAGGAGGTCAGAGTGTCACTGCGGCCTGGTCAGCCGGTGGCCAG